AAACAGATTGGGAGTCACTCTTCACTCAAAGCTGAGCAGCCTATGTGTGCATTATGGGATAGTTTTCCAATCACATAATCAAGCTTTTTCTCTTGAATTAGACAACACTTTGCATAATCTGGACATTCAAGTTAATTATATGTCGTGTGTTTCGATTTTGTTCAACTTTCACTCTGTGCTCACACTCAAGTGTCCCCCGCTTGTGCTCAGATTTGCTCGTGCTCAAACTGGGCGCCTGCACTCAGATGTTTCACTGCTTGCACTCAGATTCTCTACACTCGAGTTTCAGCTCTTCTCCTCTTGCTCACGCTGCTTCTGTGGGTGTGTGAAACTTCTGCTCTTGGACTTTTACTTGTGCATATTTTTTTAAGGGGGGGTGACAAATCTGTCAAAATAATTCTTAATAATATGTGTTGCATTTTAAATTTGTAGTGGCTTTGGTTGTAGACTGGTCTGGCTTACAAGGCTCCTGGTCTGAAATCATTTAAAATAATTATCATTAAATGTTCTGCAGATGTGAGAGAGAGTTGAGGGACTAAGGAGAATTATTGAATACTTAATATAACTGAGCTACTGTTTTGGAAAGCAAAAGCTGTTTGTGCTGTGGTTTAGATAAATAAAAAATGCAGGTTCGGGTCCTAACTCAAGGGATGATGCTTTTTGGAAGAAGATCCGCTCTCCTCACTTCAAAATGTTTTGTTTGAGAGACTAAAAACAATATCCTGACAGGACTCCAAATAAAGCAAGTATTGGGAAGTCAAGATGATTATTTTTTTATTACTTCAGACTCTGTGTTTTCTCCAGTGAGAACTAGATATTTGTGTCAACACATCTTCCTTTGTTTCAAAGAACAATGATCAGTCTTGACCAAGTTAAATGAAAGTGATGATAAATTAGACATTACATTTTTACAATAGGAAAAGTAATCAGATTACTCACTTATTTTTCAGTCACAGCCATTAATTACATTACTGTTTAACATGTGAAAAGTAAGACATTGAGGTTTTGAGCATTCATCACTTTACATAAAGCTTAGCCCTGGTGCATACATACTATTTATATTTATATAATGCATGTATAATTATACAGTAAAGCACACACACACACACACATACACAAATTGATGGATCACACTTGTGTCTGTGCACTGATCCATGTGAAAATGATGTAGTTTCCTCATGACAGCCGTCTACTGCACCTTCTAGCTAAACTCTTCACCATGTAACACAATTCTGTTTGGCAGGCTGTCTGCAAGGCATCTACAGCAGCAAATGTAATCTGTGATACAATCTGGCCTGAGTGGGCTGGTACAGCAGCTCTATACGCACACACACCTACAAACATGGACACACACACACACACACAAGAAGACACATGCAATTGATGACATGCATGCTGTGTCCACATCAGGAACAGGCTGCTATGTAATCTTCACTCCAAACACAACTGCAGGTGATAATGGTAGTTTCTGTGGTGCTCACAAAAATACACCCACATTCACATGGACTTGTGCACATACAACTGTGAAATATGCATGTGTTTTTCACACATACTGTTCCTGCACATCGTTGTCATGAGTTGACAGCAGTCTTAAGTGGATGCAGCCAAGCATTGTGTGAAGACGGTCAATGGTTTATAGAGGCAGCTGAAATTCAGCTCCCTTCACACAGGGAGAACTATTGACAAAAGACATTGACTGCATCAGTTGGACGTGTAGTCAGGCAGATGAGCACCCTGTGAGAGATGAATGCACCAGGAGCTTTCACCAGATAGAGAGCGAGTGAAATCCAAAGTCACAACTCTTGATAAATATTTGTGCCTTATTTGACCAGTTCAATTTGTCCTGAAGTGATCTGAACTCTGTTTAAACTGCTGTCTCTATTAAGGTATTTCCAATTGACTAAAATTACATTCTAGATGCTAACTTCTGATAAACTATGTAGAAGACCTAAAACGATTTACAGCAACCAAAAATATCATGTTTCTTTAGTGAAATTAAGTAGCATGTGTGAGTGTATTTTTGTGATGAAAACATTATTGAACCAGCAGTTGTGTAACCAGAAGTACCAATATCTTCCACCATATGAATTGATTTTTTAAATAGAGGTTACCCCAAGAATAAATAACAGTAACAATCAGCTTGAATGCTCACAAAGACGCACTTAGTCCAGACCAAGGTAAATCTCTTTGTTACATTGGAGATGTTTGGATACAATGAAGAGGACACTGACTTGCTGATTAGGTCATAAGCCATAATCTTCACTGATTCGTCATGCTTCTCTTTTGGAAGAGGACAACCAGCTTGAGCCTCGGCTACCAGTGTAGAACACAACATGAATAATCAATTACAAGTGTTGTTGACCCTGTTGCCTTTGCTAACAGCTGTTGTGCCAAATTATCATTGTTCAATTCTGAATTAACAATGATATAACTGCTTACATGCACAGAAAACAAGCTATTTTTCCAGCAAATGTTCACATGACATACATTTTCAGATACGCCAAAATTCTTGTCTTAGCAAACACAGTTGTATGGATGTAGCCTGAAACTGTAGAAGGTTCGGACCAAACATGCTAGGTGTGAAAGCCCCCTAATACGAAAACACTTGACACAAGACTTTAGTGTACAGATAATTCATCAATGACAAAAACATGGAAGTAGTCACTTTGTTCATTACTCAAATAAAAGTTTCATAACTTCTGTGTTTAGTCACATTGAGAAAAGATGCTTCCCCACTTTCCTGACCACACTCACTCTGCTCCTCTGTAGTCAATCATTTGATGAGCGAGTAAGCCACTCAAGTTCAGTGCCAGGGTGTTAAGATGCACTGACCCTCTGTTATCCAGCTAATTGAATGATTATGTGCGCCTGCTCTGCTCGCTGCCGTCACTATTGTTCCAGCAGATCATCATTACTGCCAGGGGATTTACAGCATGCCTCCAAATACAAGGTAAAAGGGGATCTTACACTGAAACCCACTGCTGTACCGTGTTTCAAACCAATAAGGATGAAGCTTGAGAAAGGCCACAGAATTAGTAATAAGCACTACTTAGCTGTTAAATTGTGTCCTACATCTATAGCTATATTTCTGCATGATAACTGCTTTCATTACACTACAAGCTACAGCAACATTTTACTATTTGTCCGGTGATGTACTGCCTGCAGCAGCCATGTTGAATGACCACAGCTCTTTGAAGTCTCAGCTTTATGTTTAAGACTTTTCCCTCACAGAAGAATCAGGGACTCTGATACAAAACAAAAACAATATGATTATGCATGAAATGATCTCAGTTTAACCACAGATGCTGGTCTGCCTTTATTTCACCGTGGGAGGATTATTCGACCCAGGCTGTGAAGTCAACAATAATGATGATTTGCAATGGATGAAACTACACTTAAATCTGCTTCTGATTGTATGTATTGCCAAGGTATGCAAATGGTGAATAAGCATAAAAGATGAGTAAACTAAACACACAGAACTGAAAAGCACAATTTGGGAGGAGCCCACAGTGACACATATTTGACACTGAACTGACATTTCACATGCTAACAATTTAGGTTGTAAAGAGACTTTTCACACAGACATGAATCTTTATCCATGACATACACTTCAATGTGTTTTTTGGGCTGGGGATGACCGTGGTCTTGGCTGTCAGGAAACGACATTTCTTTTAATTTCAAGGAGAGGTACTTCAACCAAAACTTTGCATTTACATTTTATTGCATATTAGAGGGAGATTACTCTTTTTTTGATGGTTCACCAAATGAAAGAGGATTTTTATCTGATCTGAATAGTCTCTGGAGAATTACATTACCATGAAGTAAATGCAGATCAATAGTATCTCATTACATCTTATTCAGAGCTCAGTAGGCAAAGACCAGATGTTTCTCACTAATTAAAGCAGATAGATTATCATGTGAATTGATCACGTACAATATCCCTCTAATGAATAATGGTAGGATAGACGCTTGTAGAGTCACGACCCTGATCACCAGAAGAACACTCAGGACCTGGTTTCATGTTATTCTGATGAGAAATAAATTCCAACACCCAGATTTCAATCTGCTTTGGAGAGACAGTTTGGTTTTATCAAAAAATCCAGCAAACACAGAGCAAGTCGTGACTGTTTAAAAAGAGTAACAACACGAGGCCCACGCAGCAGAACCACACACCTCTGCAGGAATACATATTTGGACCAGGATTGCCTTCCAAGTGTGTCTAACTGTGAATTGTTTCTAACAAAGCGTTTAGCAGGAGAGGCTCTATTGATTCGTGCAGGAAAAGGAACTAAAGCTTCTGATGCATACTGACAACCACAAGGCCAGCCGTGCAGTTAGCAGCAGGGTTCGCTGCATCACAAGTGGGCCCAGTTCAGGCAGTTTAATCCAGGTTAATGGCAGCAGGGGATAGAAGAGTAAAACTGGTATAAACTCATAATCGAAACAGAACAATATTACAATATTACATAATATAGTATAATAATCTATCTCCAATCACACACACACACACACACACACACACTTATTGACTTCCATTGATTCATTCGGTCCAACCAAAACCTTATCTCTAACCTTAACCTGACCACAATTTATATCTCACCCTGAAACTTAACCAGGACCTACAGAGGTAACAAAAGTGAGAATGCTTGCACACATAGACACGCATATCTCTGTGACTTCAAAGGACATTCAATTGATTTATTGACTTACATTGATTTCCTGGAGACTAGTTACTGCTTGCTAAATCCTAATCCAAAACTAAACTTAATCTAACCTAACCTTAACCCTACCCTTACTTTAACTCCTTAAAGACAAGTCCCCATAATATGACAAAGTAAACAATTTGAGGTCCCCACAACATGGGTAATACCTGGACAAAACACACACACACACACACACACATGCACAAGTCTTCACTGAAACCAAAGCCAGTTGACCACACTGTGTATCTTTAACCCAGTTCACTTCAGTGTGTGCTGATAGAAAAGGGTGAGGCCTACCTGTGACCTGCAGCTTGTCCATGCTGACCTCGCACTTGAGGTAAACACGCCCCCTCCTTTCGGTGTGATCGGTTCCACACATGCTGGGCACATTCATAACACACTGATTATGGACGTTCATGTCACAGGCTGGAGGGAGATAAGAAGAAATCAAGAAGAGGACTTTGGTTTAATTGAATTCCATCATCTGACTAAACACACTGATGCTTTCATAGTTCCTCATGAACACACCTCAACTGATTTATTGACTGATGTTTAATGGCCACTTATTTTTTTGCATATGGTTGATAAACACCACCATGAGGTTATGCTTTTATCTGTGTTTGGTTTTCTCTCTGTTAGTTCACAGCATTACGCAAAAACTATTGGACGGATTACCATAACACCTGGTGGAAGGATGCGGTATAGGTCAGGGAAGAATGCATAAAATTTTGGTGCCGTGCTCACCAATCTTATAATTGATGGATCCAAAAAAAACAAACAATAAGGCTAATTTAGGGGACTGATATTGCAACTTTTTTTTGGTGTGGTTCTGGATTAGGGGGTGGATAGCTAGGGCGTTAACCTTGGCGGATAGGTTTGCGCTCTCCAAACAGCCTTCCTGTTTAAAAAAGCTTTAATTCTAACAATATGTCTTTTATTGATTAAATATCATCTCATGTTCTAACACAGTAAGCTGCTTTAAAAAGCCTCTAGACTTACTGTACCTATATAAGAAGATATTTCAATTTCATTTTGTGTATCATATGTTTTTGTCACAATATTTAAGGCTTGTTATTTTACTGAAAGCTGGATGAGAGAAGGGATAACAAGGTTATGACCCGGATACAGCTCTGTGATATGATGCATACATGGCATGTGTGTCTGCCAGATGAGTCGCCCTGTCATTCACTAGGGACAGTTTCCAGTGGTTACGTCATGACACCACCAGGTGATGAAAAATAATGAAAAGTGGATACGCTGCTACCTCACGACTCCATGTCAACAAATACTTTTTTGTGCCTCACTGTGACAAGTCAATACTGCTGTGCAATCCGACTGCGCCGTGATTAGAGGTGCAATTGATCTGCCAAAATAATTTCCCTGCTCCACATCTCTGTTTATGTACACCCCGGAGTAATCATTAGGCATAACTGGTGGTCTGTAGTAGGTGGTGGATAATGCATTAAGGAGCTCATTAAGGCATTCAGAATTTAATTCACAAACGAAGATTAAAGCCAAGAGGAGTGATGGAGGGATATTAATGAAGTCGCTGTAAGGCTTTGATCGCACCCTACTCGAGCTGTGGCAAATATAGCTGACTGAAAATAAGCAATGTGAGATTTTAATGAGTGAAAGTCAAGGACGGGGGAAACTCCACATATCTGTGGTTTACAGAGAAAAGCAGGACAATGACCTGTAGTCAGTGTAGAATTCATTTTCCTCTTTTACTATTTGAGCATCCACCTGTGAATCACAATCTAAACAGTCATTTATACTACTGATAAAGCAAAACAGCTGAGACTGAATGTCAAATATTATCTGACAAATATTATCTGACAAATATCATCTTTAGACATAAATCAATCTTAGAGCCCATTGACCAATCGTCTGACGACGAATAGGCCTCTAGGGGGCAACGGCCGATATTTGGGGCGTCCGGTGTAGACAGTGGATATCTTTCTGACACGAGTCAAACATTTCTCCAAACAGTGATACTTTAGTAGGTGTCTTGTATCCAGACGACATTTTGGCTCATCTCTATTAACAGCTATCTACATATTCGCATGCAGCCGGTCAGTACATGCACTATTTAATTTCAAATGAGGCTTGTTTTTTTACAAACTAGGGAAAATGTTACAGATGAAATTTGATTACTCACTGTCACATTTCATGCCCTGGTGGATGAGGCCATAGAGCAGAGAGCCACAGTGGTCACAGAAGGTGGGGCTCCCATAGGTGTGGATCTTAAACTTGTGTTTCGTTCTGGGATCCTGGAGAAAAAAAAAGAGAAAAAAGGAAAAGAGGGATGAAAAAAATGTGAAGGAATGGGAAAAACCAATAACCACTGTCAGATAAAGCTGTGAGAACAAATTTACTCGATGGTAATTAAAAACCCAGGTTCATTACAGTGTATTGATTCAGAATAGGAAAGTGCACTACAACAACAGTTCAAATGATAAAAATCCCCTTTGAGCCTCTGTCTGTGGCTTAATAATGAAGAAATGTGGTTTAAAAAAGAAGCTATGACTTCAGGCATTTTTATGAGCCCTCTGCTCTGCAGAGCTTGTTTTTGTCTTTGTCCTGGCACCTTATAATGTTCTCTTATACTTTTTATGTTGTTTTATGTTGACTGTCCTCTAGACTTGCACTGCTTAACTGTTCATTGTAGCACTAATGACTGCAGAGGAAACAATATATGACTCCAGGCAAGGCCGATAATAAAGTTGTCTTGAATCTTGAAAAGGAAGAAAATTGTGTGTCTTTCAGTAGAGATGCTGACAAAACACAAAGTAATGTGACCTCAGTAAGTGGAAACTTTTGGATGTTACAAGGTTTTTGTCATAAATCCACAATTTCAAATGATCTATCCTCGAAACCTGGCCTCTGTCAATCAGGTGGCATCCTTTAAATCTCTCACTCACATGTTTCTGAAGGACAAATGAAAGTTGAAATCATCCGACTTCATCAGAGAGAACAACGTGTCGACATAATCAACGTCACTCAGGAAACAATTGAAAACCCATCGAGTGCAATCACTTCAGGCTGGGTTAAGGCCCATGGTTTAATTCATACTCAGTGATATTTTTTGTATCACTTGAAGGAGCAATGAATCAATCTCTACCAGGCTTTTTTATTAAAGGTCCAGTGTGTTAGATTTAGGTGAAGAGAACTATTGGCAGAAATTTAATGTAGAATAATCCTCATGATGTTTTCACTAGTTCGTTTCATCTAAATTATATGAATTGTAGTTTTCTTTACCCCAGAAAAGGTCCTTTATATTTAAATACTTTATATTTACATTGAGGGGGTCCTCTCTACGGAGGCTGCCATGTTTTTTACATTAGTCCAGACTGGACAAACTAAACACCT